CGGGTCGAAACTAATATTATATATATATATATATATATATATATATATATATATACACCGATAAGTAGTTTTCTCTGGATTACCTGGATTATGCGATGTGTAACATCAGTTAAGTACAAGGTACTTATGAATGGGCAACCAAGAGGGAATATTGTCCCGGAAAGAGGTCTACGTCAGGGAGATCCTTTATCCCCTTTCATTTTTATTCTATGCACGGAAGCGCTCGTTAGCCTTCTTAATCACGCAGAGAATCAGGGAAAGATAACGGGGATGCGCATCACGCGTGCGTGTCCGTCGGTATCCCACCTACTCTTTTGCTGATGATAGCCTTTTCTTTTGTAAGGCGGAGCCCCGTGAATGCGAAGAAGTAATGAAAGCGGTTAGGATGTATGGACAAGCCTTGGGACAATGCATTAATTTTGACAAGTCTTCTTTACTCTTTGGTAAGAGGATCGGTCAAGAGGCCAGGCAGTAGATTAAGGATACACTTGGGATCCAGAATGAAGCAGGAATGAGAACTTACCTAGGGATACCAGAGGATATTAGTGGCTCAAAATGTAAGTTATTTGCCTTCTTAAAATACAAACTTCGGAACAGAGTTAATGGATGGACGGGCAGGTGGTTATCTAGAGGTGGAAAGGAAGTAATGATAAAGTCCATTCTACTAGCCCTCCCAACATATGTTATGTCTTCCTCTGGAGATATGTGATGCCTTGGCTAGTGCCATTGCACAGTTTTGGTGGAGCTCAAACCCACCAAAGAGAGGCTTACACTGGACAACATGAGACAAGTTATGTCTATCTAAAGAGGAAGGAGGAATTGGCTTCAGGATGATCCATGAGTTTAACCTGGCATTACTGGCAAAGGAGTTGAGGAGATTGGCCCAAAATCCAGATTCCCTGGTAGCTCGAGTTATGAGAGGGAGATATTATCGTCTAAGCTCGCCTTTGTGGAAGCTCACTGTCAGTAGCCCATCATATGTGTGGACAAGTATTTCGGCTGCACGGGAATTATTGCTATTGGGGGTTAGACAGAAAATACATTTAGGTTATGAAGTAAAGGTATGGGAGGACCCATGGATTCCCACAATCCCAGCGAGGCCAGCGGTTGCATCTGTTCCGGTCCTGCATCCGAACATGAGAGTGAGTGATCTTATCGATCCAGAAACAAAGTCTTGGGATCTGGAGCGGTTGGCAAATTATGTTGACGCTGCTGATATACCTCTCATAAGGAGTATGGCAATTAGCTCAACCCATCGAAGAGACACATATTGCTGGAGCTACACAAGGAATGGACAGTACACAGTCAAGTCTGGCTATTGGGTAGCTAGAAATATACTAATGAAGGAGGAAGAGAATCTGGTAGATGAACCTAGCATCAAAAGGCTTCAAGCACAGGTCTGGAAAGTTAAAGCACCCCCGAAGATGTGCCATCTTATGTGGCAGATTATTTCGGGGCAGGTGGCTGTTACGAGTGCGCTGAATCAGACACATGAGATGCGATAATTTCTGTCCACGATGCGGAGAACCGGATGAAACAATTGTACATGCAATTTTTCAATGCCCACCGGCTTTACAAGTATGGGCATTAGCATCTATACCCACCAGCTCATCTTTGTTTCCTTTGGAGAGCACTTATGCGAATATGAATTATCTATTCTGGCGGAAGAAGGCTATTTGTGGGCCAGAATTAGACAGGGGTCCTTATCCTTGGTTAATATGGTACATTTGGAAGGTTCGAAATGATAAGCTGTTCAGAGGTATAGACATAGACCCTTTGGAACTGGCCCGCTATGCAGAGAGTGAGTGTCTTGCCTGGTTTCAAGCTAATGAGAAGGAAGGTGGGACTACACAGGAGAACGGCGATACTGAACGTCAGACCGTAAGTCTACGAGATATCTGCATGATAGACGGTTCTTGGACCTCTATAGACCAATTCTCCGGATGTGGTTGGGATTGGAAGGATAGCATGGGAAATAGCCAGTTGATGGGGATGCGTAATGTGAGTAGAGTGGAGTCGGCTTTGCATTCTGAGCTGGAAGCACTGCGGTGGGCAATGGAGAACATGCTTCAACATTCGCCATGTCAGAGCTTTGGGACGGATTGCAAGGAATTGTTAGCAATGCTCACGGATCCCAAGGGATGGCCAAGCTTTTCGACGGAATTAGAGAGGATCTTGACGCTGAGGATTTGCTTCCCGGACTTCAAAATCACTTATGTACCTAGATCTCTAAATGCTGTGTCCGATCATTTAGCTAAGACTGCTCGTTCCTTTTACCGTGATCTTTTGTATGTTAGTTGTTTTATTCCGGTCTGGATTCTCAGACCACCTCAAGCTTGAGTAATAGATCAGCATTTCGATGTAAAAAAAAAAAAAGTAGCTTTCTCATTCGCCAAAATAACTGTGGAAAGAGGGATAATAAACTCCACTGTATGTTCTTCTAAGTGAAATGTAGACATATATTGAAACTGCCATAACATAAGTAGAGTAAGAAATCGTTTACGCCCCAAATCACATGTGGCCATCTAGACTGAGAGAGAGATGGAACTAGAGATTTGGGTTTCATATATAAGAAAATTGCTTTGGTCTTTTACAGAACCATTTTATAATAGATGAATCAACAGGTGTTACCATTTCATTCTTATGAGAATTTTAAACGGACATCAAGACATCAAAGTGAGTAACATTGTAGGTAGGATTTTCTCAGTGATGTTGCATGTGAGCAACATGTAACTTGGATGACGTAATTGTAACAAAAGGAACTGCCGTAGTGCCATGTGTTTTTTTTGTAATCTATTCATTTCATTTCACTAGACCAAATTAGAACATTTCCATAGGTAGTTTTCTATCACGAAGTTTTCAAATTATATATTTGTGTAAGTATATATAATAACTATTAGTTAATTATGGTTATACAAAAACTCTTGGAAATTTAACCAATAATATATCAAATTAAATACTGTTAGATTTCCAAAAGTTCTAGTATACTCATAATTAAATAATAATTATCATATATACATACATAAACATAGAATTCCATGATAAAATATTACCATTAGAGTTGTTCTTATAGTCGGTCGAGATTTTCTCCTCAGCTGATCGTATCTCAACTAAAATACTTCCATATTTTATAGTATGATAAACAAAATAATTTTAATATTCATCTCTTAGTATTACTAAATAAGTAATTTTTAAATACTCATAAATATTTGCATGTAATTCATTAATAATGAAATTTGTAAGTAAATCATTGAGCAAGTATTAGAAATATCAAGTACTTAGAAAGTCAAACACAAATTTAATCATTGCATCTAATTTGCATGAATTATTTCTATTATGACAAATCAAGTATAAAGTATATGGAAAATAACAAATACTTACTTTGTGATTTGTTCTATTTATTCTTGTGGAAATTAGATAAATTAATAAATATAATAAATTAATAAATTTTATCAATTTTAAATTGGAAAAATATATATATGATACAGATAGATATGATAATAAAATAATAAAATATTGAAAACCTTGTTTAAATACATAGTTTTAATGTAATATAAAATAATGTATATAAAGTTTATATAAAAATAGATAAAGTATTATATAATTTGTTTATAATTCATATTGAAGCATATCTTTAATTTTCTAAACACCCAAAATATTTGGATGTTACGTAAAACATCTTATACTATTATTTGCAAAGTGATTTTTTGCAATGGAACTCTCACGTTAAGAATTGGAGTGGTTAATATCGATTATAAATTAACTAAAAAGAAAAAACGAATTTAATACTTATTTTCCTAGATTAATTGTTAAAATTAATAACAAGAATAATTAATCAAAATCTAAAATATAGATTTATTTTGTAAAGATAATTCTTATATATATTGTGTTGTTGTCCAAAAATATCTTTTATAAAAAATTAAAATTCAAAAACTTCAGAAACAGAAAATACATAAATTAATATACTAAAATAAATTTTATTTTAAAAATGTAATTCTTATATATATTGTGATGTTATCCAAAAATATATTTTATAAAAAAAAATAAAATTAAAAAATTCATTAACAGAAAATACATAAATTAATATATTAAAATAATGAAAATAAAAATATATCTTTATAGTATTTTAGTTAGTAATGCATTTATTAATAATAAGTAATTACGAAATTGCTATGATTTTTCGCAATGGAGCTCTCACGTTAAAAGTTAGAGTGACTAATATCGATTATACCCTTAATGAATAAACTATATAAATTAGCTAAAAATAAAAAACGAATTTAATATTTATTTACTAGATTATTTGTTAAAATTAATAACAAGAATATTTAATCAAAATCTAAAATATAGATTTTATTTTATAAAGATAATTCTTATATATATTGTGTTGTTATCCAAAAATATCTTTTATAAAAAATGTAAAGTTAAAAAATTCATAAGCAGAAAATACATAAGTTAATATATTAAAATAAAGTTTATTTTAAAAATATAATTCTTATATATATTGTAATATTATCCAAAAATTTTTTTTATAAAAAATTAAAATTCAAAAATTCATAAACAGAAAATACATACATTAATATATTAAAAAAATGAAAATATAAATAAAGATATATCTTTATAGTAGTTTATTTAGTAATGCATTTACTAATAATAAATAATTATAAAATAACTAAGCCTGCATGTGAGGACAAAGCACGTAGTATATTAAAATATACAAATCTAAAAGAAGATATTTTTGTAACTTAATAACTTAATAAATTAATCAAATATTATAATCTAAACATTATTCTTTTATAAAAAGATAGTGTATATATTTTCTTTTAGTTATTGATATAAAATGCAAATATTTTTATCAAATGTATGACAAATACAAATACATGATGATGTGATAATTGATATTATTATAGTCTGGTGAAAAATATAAAAATAAAAGAAATGAAGTGGAGAGTAATAAATGAAGAGGAAGAGTCATCGCTGTCATGGTCGCAGTTAAAGAGGTGGTCAGAGTCAGAACTCTCCCTTAAGCAACCTTCCAAATTTATTGATACTTCCTGTTTCCCAAGATCCACCCACCACTCTTCTCCTCTTTCTTCTCCTTTCCTCAATCTGCGCAAGATTCTACATTACATCTCATCCTCTAATGTCCCAAAACAGCTGGATTCTTGCAATGTGTTGTTAACTCTAATTTCTAATCATCATGGGGAAGAAGAGCGGCTCATCATCTTCTTCCTGGCTCACCGCCGTTAAACGAGCTTTCCGTTCTCCGACCAAGAAAGAACATAACAACAACAACAACAACAATGCTCACGGTAATGAAGCCGAGGAAGACGAGGACAAGGTTCGCTAAAGTCTTGTCTCTTCCAATCTTGACAATTTTCTTCGTTTATTTAAATGCTCTGTTCTTTTTTCTGTAGAAGAGAGAGAAGAGACGGTGGTTGTTCAGAAAAACAACGAATCACGACTCTCCGGCGAAGACCACCAGCGTTTTAAAAGACGGGTCTGCACCGAAACCCGCGGATACGGCGGCGATCAACACAAATGCTTCATCCTCTGTTTCAGAACAGAGAAACGCCGCACCATCACCGCCCACCACCGTCTCCGTCGCATCGGAGATTCCTCCGGATACGGCGGAGCTACCAAATCTCCCAAGACGGACTTACTCCGCTGGAGAAAACTACGCAGCTATTATCATCCAAACTTGTTTCAGAGGTTATCTGGTGAGCAAGTTTTCTACTAATTACAACTAATTAATTTATAATTAATAATTAATTAATTTTAATTAATAATTAATTAATTAAATGTAAGTAACAATATAATGAGATTTGGTTTAGGCAAGAAGAGCGTTAAGAGCATTGAAAGGATTAGTGAAGCTACAAGCACTAGTGAGAGGTCACAACGTGAGGAAGCAAGCTAAGATGACATTAAGGTGTATGCAAGCTCTAGTCCGAGTCCAGTCTCGTGTTCTTGACCAACGTAAACGTTTGTCTCACGATGGTACTCGCAAATCTGCCTTCAGTGACACTCAGAGTGTTCTTGAATCTCATTATCTTCAAGACATTTCAGATAGAAGATCCATGGTAAGATATAAAGTAAGTTTCATAGTTAGCTATTAGCTATTAGCTAATAATGTTTTTGTGTTATAGTCAAGAGAAGGAAGTAGCATTGCTGAAGATTGGGAGGAGCGGCCACAAACGATTCAAGAAGTGAAAGCCATGTTGCAAGAAAGACGAGACAATAGTTTATCAAAAGCTTTCTCTCAACAGGTAGTTAAAAACACACATCAATGGTTTGGTTTAAACCGGTTTAGTGTCTAATTCAGCTTGTTTATTTTTTTGGTTTAAAGATTAGAAGGACTAGAGGCTGTCAATCTATAGGAGAAGAGGAAGAAGAGAGACCAAAGTGGTTAGACCGGTGGATGTCATCTAAACCATGGGATAAAAGAGCTTCAACGGATCAAAGACCACCGGTTTACAAAACTGTTGAAATCGATACTTCTCAACCGTATCTAACCCGAGCGCATTCAAGAACCGGTGCAAGTCCAAGCCGTAGCCAAAGACCTGATACACCATCAAGAACCAGCCATTATAACAACCAGCAACAACATAGTTTCTCGTCAGCTACACCATCTCCGGCTAAGTCAAGACCGATACAAATCCGGTCGGCTAGTCCACGGATTCAAAGAGATGACCGGTCAGCTTATAGTTACACATCAAACACACCTAGCTTGAGGTCTGACTATAGTTTCACCGCAAGAAGTGGCTATAGTGTTTGTACCACCACTACATTGCCGAACTACATGGCCATCACGGAATCAGCAAAGGCTAGAATCCGATCACAGAGTGCACCGAGGCAACGACCTTTGACACCTGAGAAAGACCGTGGTGCCGGGTCAGCTAGGAAACGGCTCTCGTATCCTGTTCCACTGCAACCACCAGTGGAGGTTGGAGGAGGGTATTATGGTAATTGTAGCAGTCAGAGTTTAAGGAGTCCAAGTTTGAAGAGTATCGGTGGTTCGCAGTTGGGTGCATTGGAGCAACAGTCAAATTACTCTTCTTGTTGTACTGAGTCTATTGGTGGTGGAGGTGGAGAGATCTCGCCTGCTTCTACAAGTGATTATAGAAGATGGCTAAAGTGATAAGGAAAATCTAACGGTCATGACTTTTTTCCTTACTCGTTTTTAAATAGTTTTTTCGGATATATAAATAATATTTCATTTGACTAAGATAAGAACGATGACCTTTTTTGTGTCTGTGATGATGACCTTTGGTATTGGTGTGTAATGTGTGATTTTGTGTGTTTTTGTTTATCTATTAATGGAAGATTGGATATGTAGTCTCTTTTTTTGTCGGAAACGTAATCTTGTTACTAATTTTGGTCTTTGTATAAGCATTATTTCAAAGTTTTATTTGCAAGTAGATATCATATGCAAGTTATGAAATGATTGTTGTCATGGACTAACTTGACTATTTTTCATTTACATGATGTTTTTAGTTATTGAACTTAAAAGCAATGTCTGGCCAGCTTTTTATTTCCAGTGTAATTTAATGCAAAGTGAATAGTATTAATTTATGAAATGACCATAAAAAAGCTGCAACTTTGCAACTTGGGACACGAGCAAAGAACATCGCCCATGTGACATGATTCCTATACTTATCAGTCTTGTCTTCGACGTTACACCACAACTCCACATCCACCTAAGATAAATGCTTCTTAAATAAGAGAAAACAAAATAAATCAAGAAAACACGATGAAAGTCTATCATTTCACCTAAAATTTGTATTAGTATCACTACCAGGCCGCCCTGGGCTAAGGCACATAAAGGGCTGGCACATGTATATTTATTATACAACATTATGTGTGTAGGATTTGTAGACATATAAATGAACATTTTAAAGACTTTTATAATGAAAGCACGTTGAATTAAAATAATTGAAGATCAGCCTGCACAAACAGAGTAAATAAAAAACACCTGAATCAGCCTGACAGAAAAAGGAGGCATATTGGATTAGGGATGTTCAATACAGTAAAACCCAACCAATTATAACAGAATAACCGAATTAGATAAAATGATTTAGATTTGATAATAACAAATAAACAGAATGAAGTTGATTTTAAGAAACTGCAGTATATAGATATGATTTGGTATATAAACCGATCAAACCGAATAAATAAAGAAAACTGGTTAAGTAAAATATACTATTATACTAAGCAAGTTTTATAGTAAATTTAATAATATGTAGATGATTATTTATTAATATTATTTTCATATTTAAAACATATTTTTATTGGTAATATTTGTGCTAAAATATAGTTATTTAATAATATTAAAAAAAATATTATCTTTATTTTTAATAGTAAAAATGAAAAAAATATTCTATCTTATAAAAAAATAGAGTATGGAAATATATATTATGTTTTAATAAATCTGAATTCTAATCATATAAATTAAAATTTGTCATAAAAGATAAATATAGTTATAGATTTTGGTATAAAATCAAATAAATCAAATTCTGTTAATATATAAACTGAATTAAATCAAAATAGATACAATATTAATATGGTAGCTAATTTTCATAATTTAAAATACCAAATCAAGACCAAACCAACATCCGAATTGATCACCCTAATTAAACTAGTTGAACATCAGCCTGACATCAAACGAGAGAAGCGAAACAGCACACAGCTTCAATCTCCCAGAGAAAAACAGTAGGACTTGCAAATCACATAAGATGATCGTTAGTGATCCTAATGGAGAATTAACAAGCTACATGCTCATTAAAACTAAATGGGCCTAAAAGGCATTTTCTTAGGATAGGGTCTCTTTTCCACCGGAGATAGAAGTATAGAGGTAGCCGACGAGCTAGAGTAAAACAGTTATTTGTCGGAGCAAAATCCCCAGAAATACACAAATTTCTCGAATTTATCCGATTCGAAAACACAAAACACAAAGCGGGTTTGGTATGCCGAGAAAATTCTCCATTTTATCTTTTCATATACATATGTTTTTGTTATTCCTTAGATCTCTCTCATATTCTTCCATCTTGTTCCCTCCCTAAATTAAAAGCAAAGCACAAACCCTAGTTTCTGACCCTATTACAAAGTTCAAATTTTTCCTTAAATTTCTGAGCTGATCTGGTGAGTAATTTACTTCTGGGTCTCGATTATATTTGCTTCCCATTAATGGGTTTTTGTTTTCTGTGAGTCTTGATCTCGAATTTGATTGGGTGGTGCTTCGTGTATAAAGTTTACTACTTTATAACATTTGGGCTTCTAAGGGAAACTGGATCTTGGAATCAATACATAACACAAAAAGTTTTGATCTTTGTTACATTCACTAGACACTTTGTTTTATAAGAGCAATGAACTTCTGTTCTGCTCTATCTCCTTTTTCATCACCACTTAACATTAAACACTCTTGTTTTTCCGTTATAAGCTTCTTAGTGATCACGTGAGGTTCCTAAGTATATGGTTATTGGATGACCAGATATCATTTGCGAGAACCTCTCATGTCAGACGCTCCAGATGTTGATGACCGTGTGGATTACGAGGATGGTAGCAACAGTGAGATGGAGGAGGAAGTTGAGGAGGAACATGTAGAAGAGTATGAAGAGGAAGAAGAAGTGGTTGTTGATGATGATGGTGGGGATAGGGAAGAAGGTCAGGAGGAATTAGCTGAAGATGAAGACAACAATATTAATATTGATATTGAGACGACAGAAGATGAAGAAGAAAGGGAAGAGTATACCCGTCTTCTCTCACTTCCTCCTAATGATTTGAAGTTTTCATTGGCGGCCTCCCAAGGGATGTTGGAGAAGAGGATCTGAGGGATTTATGTGAACTCTTCGGCGAGATCTTTGAGGTTGGAACATAAATCATCCTTGTGTTCTATTTAGCATGAACCGCATTGTATCTACGGCTGACTTTTAACTTTTCTTTTATTAGGTGAGACTGATGAAAGATATAGATTCTGGTGAGAGCAAAGGCTATGCCTTTGTAGGTTTCAAAACGAAAAATGTTGCACAAAAGGCAATTGTGGAGTTGCACAGTAAAGAGTTTAAGGCAAGCTCAACCGCTTCACTTAGTTTATACTATACTTATGACTACTTCTGTTTAACTAATATCTAATTTTGCTGTACAGGGAAGAACCTTAAGATGCTCATTTTCTGAAACTAAGAATAGACTATTTATTGGTAACATCCCAAAGGACTGGACTGAGGATGAGTTTAGGAAAATCATAGAGGGTGTTGGTCCTGAAGTGGAGAATATTGAGCTTATAAAAGTGAGAAGATTTAATTTCCATGGGATGATCTTTGCTTAATTCCCTTACTAATTAGCTTCTTGTTGTCTGTAGGACCCAACTAATTCAACTTGTAACCGTGATTTTGCATTTGTTCTTTACTATAACAATACATGTACTGACTATTCAAGGCGGAAAATGATAGATTCTAATTTTAAGCTTGAGGGTAACGCACCAACTGTGACTTGGGCTGACCCAAAAAGCTCTCCTGAGACTTCAGCTGCTGCTGCTCAGGTAAACCTTTAAAGAGTGTGTTTAGTATCTCTGTAGCACTTCTTTGACACACTCTTTTGCGCTAAATGGTCAGGTGAAATCTCTTTATGTGAAGAATATTCCAGAGAATACATCAACAGAGGAACTAAAGGAACTGTTTCAGAGATATGGAGAAGTTACTAAAGTCGTCACACCTCCTAGAAAGGGTGGTAAACGTGATTTTGGGTTTGTCCACTATGCTGAAAGGTCTAGTGCATTGAAGGCTGTCAAAGACTCCGAGATATATGAAATCAACGGTAAAATTTTCAATGTTTGCTTTATTTGGTCTCTGGAGATTTTATTGACTTACACATGTCACAAAACTTGCAAACTACAGGTCAACTGCTAGAAGTTGTGCTTGCTAAACCCCAGGCTGAGAGGAAACATGAGCCTTCTTCTTATGCTTATGGTGCTACTCCTACTCCTACTCCCTTTTCTCTTCCCACATTTGGTGGTTTTGCTGCGCCTCCTTATGGTGCTATGGGTATTGTCGGTAGTTTTACTCAGGTATATAGATGTTTCCTGTTTGTCATCTTTTGAGAAGTCATTATCAGCACTTATTGTGTAAATTTTGGTTTTAAATTTTTTATTTGAGCAGCCAATGATCTATGGTAGATGAGCAATGCCAACAGGGATGCAAATGGTTCCAATGCTTCTTCCTGACGGCAGAGTTGGCTATGTTCTGTAAGTCATTTTGTTATTTTAATCTAAATTGGTTCTATATATATATAATTTGTTTGCTTTATCTCAAGAACTAAACTGATATGGGTTTATACGTGATGCATGCAACAGCCTGGTATGCAGATGGCACCACCACAACGACCCACAAGAGTTGACCGGAATAACAGCTCAAGCGGAGGGTCAGGGCGAGAGAGCAGCCATGATCATGATGGCAACCGAGGAGGCCGAAGGTACCGACCGTACTAGCATCCTAAAGCTATAGAACAATAATAAGCAACTAGGAAAAGGAAACCTGTATTGAAATTTGTCCGTTGTTGGTTTATTTTGAGAACTTTATATAAAAAAGCTCCCTCTAATGTGTTATAAATGTAAAATCGAGACCTTACGGTTTTTGGTTTGTTAAGGAGATTGATGGAAGGGTTAGAGTTGAATGATATGATTCTTTTTTTGTCATCTGCAAATTATCATTAAAGAAACTAAAAGTTTAGAACATACACCATATTGTCTCAAAAGATCACCTCCTCTGTAGGTCAATTACAACCAGTGCCTAACACCACTCGTAAGCCATCAGTCAGAGTTACCCCAGATTATAATAACCTTGTAATGTCGAAAATGTATTTGAGCCATGAAGGTCTCCCAGCTGCCACATATGAAGAAATGCGCAAAGTCTTTGGTTACACTTCTTGTAATGAGATCAGCCTCTCTATTGGTTACTTTTTCCTGTTTTTGAAATCTCCACCATTGTAATCCTTGTAAAACTTTCAACAACCCCAATCTTTGGAGTTTGAAAGAGGGCCATCTTCTCGATCTTGTGATCACTGTGGGAGTCGATTTCACCCTACTGTCAATAAATCGTAAAAAAGGAAACTTCGGGAAAACCCTAAGTTTCCAGAGGAACCGGCTATCTGCGAGAACCGCACAACAAAGATTAAGATGACTAAAATACTTAGAATAAAAACGAAAATAAGAGAAGTTTGAAAGCAAGAAGGTTCTTATTCCGAATCTGCGTTGAACTG